TTAACATGGCTTAACAAGGAGAGCAAGAAGTAAAAAATGACTCAGGTTTTTCACTTGAATGGCTAGGTGGATGAAAGTACCACCCAGTGCTACTGGAAAGTGAGAGAGTTTTATAAGCTAGATAATCAATTCAGATTTATATACATCGCTTGCATTTACTGTTGAGATTTCCTGTGGAGGTTTTTACCAGGCCACTGTACATACGAATTTTGGGGACAGATTAGAACTAGAGATAAAGTTAAGAGCACAGATGTGGTAATTAAAACTATGAATGAGTGTAGTTGCTCAGATTCAGCACGTAGAATAAGGAGAGTCATAGGCCATGGTGATTAAAGGAGACTGAAAGAATAGGAGAAAATATTTAAAGCCTTGATGATATTAAACAGTAGCTGTAAAGAGAATGGAGTATGAGAAAGTTAAAAGAAGAAGAGGTTGCTGTAAGAGAGGTGGATTTAGTCTTTCACAACGGATTCCTGAAAATTAATCCGTAATGCCTCGAGGAACAGTCTGTCGGATATTGGTATCAGAATGATGCTAGTTTTAAAATCAATGTGAATAATTCTGCAGGATTTTCAATTCTATAACATTTCTAATATTCCTAGAAAATTTGAAGGAATTCACTGATAAAAAACATCTGGCCCTAAAGTATTTTTGGAAGTTCTCTTTGATAATTGTTTTCAATGTTTCTATGGTTACAGGCCCATTTTGTTTTAAACTTCTTACTAATGCACGGTGTTTAACATTTTATTAGATATTTCAAATTTGCTGAGGTTTTCAAATTTATTAAGGTACAATTATAGCAGTTTCCCATAGTTTAAAAAAGTTCTTTGTATTTGTTGTTCTATTCTATTTATCATTTAAATTTTATTTATAATTTATCTTTGTTTTCTTAATTAAATTTGCTAGAGGCTTATCTACTTAATTTATCTCCCTATAAAAACAACATACCCCTTGGCTTCATATTATATTGGATTCTTAATCATGTAATTTCATTCTTCGTTTTTAATAATGAAATATTTAAGGTTATGAATTTACTTCTGAATATTGCTCTCAAAGTTTTGAGAAATTGTGATCTCATTTTTGTTATTTTTTTATTAGTCTGCTAGAGTTTCTTTTGGTTAATACTTGCATACAAATGTGTTTTGAAATATTAAAGCAGTGGAAGACTTTTGTTCAAATTTGTTTCTAATTTGTAGAAGTTTTACATTATCATCAGAGAACAGGGCAAGCCTGATTTCTACTTCTAACAGTATGCAAAGATTTTCTTTGTGGCATACCATATGATCATTTAAAAAATGTTCTCTGAATATTTGAAAGAGGGTGTATTCACTGTCATCAAATATAATTTTTGTTATTAATTAAATCTGATGAATTGTGTTTTTTAAATATTCTAAGTACTTATTTTCTTGGTCTACTTTATCTGTCATATTTAAATTGTATGAGCCTTCCATATAGACATTTCTATAGTTGCTCTTCTTTGTATTACAGTCTTTTCTTCAAATATTTGCATGTAAAAAATGTTTCATGAATATAATATCCTTAAAATAATTTGTATGTTCTATCAATATAAAATAAATCTTGTGGGACCAACAAGACTGTATGGTTATCGTTCCTGTTTCGTTTTGTTTCCAAATAGATAAGTGACATGACCAGATGTCTTATCTAGAGAATAGATTGATCAGAAGGAGGATTGACGAGAAGATGAGAATCCAGTGGAAAGACTCTTCCAATAGTCCAGGTAAGAAATCATGAGTGATTGGATGAAGACAAAGGCTGCAGAGAGGTGTATAGCAAGTAGAATGACTAAGACTTGGAATTACTTAGATTGAAGAGGGTTGGGGCAAGTGAGAAGAATTGAGAGTTAACATCTAGATTTCTGACTTGGTTGACCATGCTCTAAAGGGCAATATAGGAGAAAGAGCTGGTGTGGCTTTTCAGACTAGGGCATTTTCTAAAGTTCTTCTTTCTCATTATATTCATCCCGAAGGACTGGAGTCCAGACCTAAACCTCAGTGCTGAAACCAAAGTCTAACTTAGTATAAAACACTATTAAGGGCGCCTGGGTGGCTCAGTGGGTTAAGCCGCTGCCTTCGGCTCAGGTCATGATCTCGGGGTCCTGGGATCGAGTCCCGCATCGGGCTCACTGCTCAGCAGGGAGCCTGCTTCTCTCTCTCTCTCTCTCTGCCTGCCTCTCTGTCTACTTGTGATCTCTCTCTGTCAAATAAATAAATAAAATCTTTAAAAAAAAAAAAAACACTATTAAGTTTCAGGGGATCACACTTCATTTATGTGCTAAGAGCTCCTTCATAAATTTGAGGAACCATTTGGACTAAGAAAGAGGCAATAAATGCCTGATAATACCATTCCTGGGGTAATCCATACACGAAGGTTAACTTTTCCACAAGAGGGCAGCATCACCTAATGAATTATGTCATTGAGGGCCTCCGCCAATAGGCGGTGGGGGGAGGTTGAAAGGGTAGACAGGGAGCCATAGGACCTGCCACACCATGAAAACCAAAGGGCCCTACTATCTCCAAAGCCATAATTACAGCTACTCCTAAGTGACTGCTAAGGGCAGATGTTGCTACAGCAGGAACAAAGAGAACATGGTGCTCACCAAGGGAGGATGAGTAGGTGACAGCCTGATGATACTCATTCTTATGACTGGCTCAGAAGCCACCAGAGATGGTGTCTACATTCCCTCCAAGTGTTGCTATCTCTGTATAACCGGTATCTCCCAGGGAACTTTATTTCATGTTGAGAGCCCTAATGGTTTCTCTGCAAATCTGGTGCTGTGAAGATTAGGCTGGAAAGTATACTACAGTTCTGATGTTCTCCTTGTTTAATAATGTTTGGTTACTCCAATTGTGCTTCTCTTATACCCCAGGGAAAGGAATAGGAATGAAATTCCTTGAGACCTCATAAGTGAAAGGCATTTTAGATACATTGCCTCATTTAATCATCCCAACAATGCCATTATATAGGAATAGAACTAGGCAGTGCCATAAATGGGTCTATCTGAATCTAAAGCAAAAACTACTAAGCTACCTCTCCAAGAAGCCTTATTTAAAACCTAAATTATGATGATTCTAGATTGAGTCAGTGGCAATGCATCTATTGTATAAGGAATTACTTAACATGTTTCTTCCTATTCAGGTTCATGAGCAGAGATGGCTTAATCTTAGGTGCCAGCAGGTAATCCAATAAATTAATGAGATCCTATGTAACCTCACCCTTACTAACTTAAAACTCTTTCCCCCTTATATATGCTCTCAAGATAAATCATTTGGATATAGAGCATGAGAATGGCAGAAGAATTAAAGATGGCTTCTGTATTTTTGGTTTGGTTGACTGAATGCATGGTGGTCCCAGGCACTGAGATGAGGAGCTTGGGAGAAAAAGCTGACATGTTAGGTTTTGAGCATATTGTGCTTGAAATGGTTCTGAGACATCTAAGTATAAATGCCCAGTGGGAAGTTGACTTTAGGAGACTGGGGCTCTAGAGATATAGTCATAGATACATGTAAATGATAACTGAAACTCTGGAACTGAATGAGGTTTTCCATGGTATATTAATGAAATTAGAAAGAGTGGAACTAGGGAAAACACCAACACATAAGGGATGATCAGAGAAAGAGCAGGTAGTAAAGGAACATGGTTTTAAAAAATGAACAGAGAGGTAGGAAAGTAACAAGAAAATGGGGTATCTTGGAAGCAAGAAAGGAGAGTTTCACAAAGGAGAACATAATCCAGAGCAACAATGGCAAATGCCATATACTAGTCACACATGATGAAGACTGAAAACAACCCACTGACTTCAACAATTAAGAAGTAATAGTAGCTTTTGACAGAATAGTTTCAGTGGGGTTCTGAAGGTCAAATTCAGACTGTAGTGGGTAGAAAGCTAAATTGAAGATGAAGACAATGATTATAGACTCTCCTTTTGAGTATGAACAAAAGGAGAAAGATGGGGCAGTAGCCAGAAGGGGAGGGAAGTAGGATTATGGGAAGATGCTTTAAAAATATTTTTTTCTAGTAAAAATTAATTAAGATGGTGAAGCTCAGGTTCAAGTATAGGATAAAGGGAACAAATAAAAGGGAGAAGTACGAGCTCCAGTAACACAGAGCAAAGATACAGCAGCAAAATGGAAGAAGCCATATGGAAAGCTCACCAATAAGCAAATGTGTAATGGCAGCAGAGCAACTGTGCCCAAAGATGTCCTTACCTTCCTTCTGCTTTGGCCACTCCACTTATCTGGAATGCCTTTCTCCTCCTGATGGCTTATTTGTCCAATTCTACCCACCCTTTAGCTCAAATTCCACTTCCTCTATGAACTCTTACCATACCAATCTCTTCTGAGGTACTCTCTCTTTCTCTTGAATTCTAATAGCAATTTCTGTCTGAACAATCCATTGAGCAAGTCTTCAGCCTGTGAAATCCCCTATATTGTTTTTTTTTTTCAAAAAGGTATTGCTAATTTGTCACACGTGTGTCTTTTCTCCCCCATTTGGCTGTATTCTCCTCAAGGGCAGGGTTTCTATCTTAGAGTTTGCCAGTTTCCAGAATGCCTACTATGGCTGGTAGTAAGGTTTCTTTAAATCTTGTGGTTGATTTAAATAAAAACTTGAAAAAAATAAATCTGTGGTGGAACAGAAGCAGCCTGTTATGAAGGAGACAGAAAAACACCAGGTTAAGTATGCCCTTGGTGTATATGGAATCATTTACTTCTCTCGGTAGCAAATAAGGAGACTGAGTCTTGCAGACATAAAATAAATTTAACCAGGGCGCAGAGGTACTATGTAGCAGTGTCAGGATTTGAACCAAGGACCTTTTCTCTTATGCCATTCTGCTTCAGTTGTCTGCAAAATTCTGTTCATGTGAGACACCTCTTTCTTTGATGATGTTTAGATAGAGACATACCTCTATTGAGGTTTTAGTACCAACCAAGCAGTTTCAGTGGCCACTATTCCTTATAGCAGCAAATCTCCCTGTACCTTACCTCCTGACAATCAGCTTGAGGATCCGGAAGGAGCCTTTGATGAGGATGAGGGCCTCCTGGCGGGAGCCATACAATGGAGTGCCATTGATATTCACCAGCTCATCACCAGTCCTCATCTTCTGGGACAAGGCTGCCTTGCCCCCATCTTCAATCTGTGTTGCAGACAACAAAACAGAAAGCAGGTGGTGAGATTACTCCTTACCCAAAATTCTACTTCCTGGTTCCTCCCAACGTCAGAGCCATAAGTAGTACTGGGGAATGGCTCCAGGAGGCTCCAGGAAACAGCTAAGAAGCTGATCACAGTCTAGTATTTACCTTGGGCAAACCCTTAAGGAAGGAAGCAATACCAAAATAATGGAATCTCTGCTCTGGAGAAATCCACATCCATCTGGGGAGACAAGAACTTCTAAATGAGAATGATGTTTGGAAGGAACATGACAGTGTCAGTTGAAGTAGCAGCTTGGCATAGCAAACTGTGAACACAAATTACAGCCAGAAGAGCTAGGCTCCAGCAAAATGACCTTTAGCAAGTCCTTTCCCATCTTTGGGCAGCCTTTGAAGCCTGGTAAAGTTGAGTTTGAATCTTTCTAGCTGAGTGACCTTGAGCAAGTTACCTAACATTTTTGTGTCTCAGTTACCTGATGGGGAAGAGTATGTACCTCACAGGGTTGTCAGCATAGGGAATATCTGAGAACATTTAAGTCCTCAATTAATGTAAGCTCTGATGATTATAGCAAGGGAGGGGACTCTGAAGACCTTGAGCATCCAACTCAATATTCTGTAAGTGGGATTGCAAATTCAAAAGATACAAAGGATGTACAACAATGTAACTGATCACATATCTATGTCTCTTCAACAAGTGCCTAGTACAGTGCTTCTAGGATATAGACCACAGAGGGCATTCACCAAAATCTGGAAACATAGGTGTTCACGGTACCATCACAGCCTACAGAATTTCCACTGACCAGGGCAATCTTGGCAAGAAGGTAGTCAGGCTGGAGGGCATAGAAAGCAAAGGCAGAAATAACAGCAGAAATAAAAGGCAGAAATAAAAGCAAAGCAGAATGTCCCCCATGGGTCCTTGATTATGGCTACTTTTATATATAACATTCATTGTACCACAAAGGTGAGTTCTACCTAATAAGACATCAACTCCATCTGTGGTGGCAAGAGTCATCTCATTAATCTCATTAATCTCATCTCATCTCATCTCATCTCCATTAATCATTCCTCAAATTTTTAGTGAATTTCTAGTATGCACAGGACAGCATGCTAAAAGCTAGAGATGAAGAAATGAACAAAGCATGCATAGCTCTCAGCCTCAAGGTTAGGTTACTGTCTGAAGTTCATATGTCCACAGAGATGGTTATATTTAAAAAAAGGTCCAACCCACTGGTGGAATCAGGAAGAGATGTTTGTTTTTCTCCTAGGGGCAAGGAAGGTGAGGATGATTAAACCATAGAATCTTTAGGGAAAGATAGACTCTAAGTGATGCAACCAAAGGCTGGTCTTTGCTGTGGGTGTTTTTATATTTCTACTCTTCTTCTAATTTTTTTCTCAGTCTTTCATAGAATCCCTCCAATCTATCCCTCACCATGAAAGTTAGAATATTGCTGAGCTTTAGGTTGGCTAGTTCATATGCAATTTGGCAATTGAGACCTCCTGAGTGCAGAGAAAAATGTTAATTCAGGATTTTAAAAATCCCATCAAATAAATTGAAATTCTAAGTTAAATCACAGACTATTATTAAATTTATTGCTGCTAACCCAACAGTTTTTTTTTTTTAAATTAACCTTTGTCTGACAAATCATAGGTTAGCCAAGTGACATTGAATATATAAATACCTTTGTTCCAGTACCTGGGCCACCACTCAAGATAAAACAAGCCAATATTGGTAAATGGGGAAAAACTCTCAGCAAATAAATTAAGATCACATTCTAATTTCCATTGTTATTATCATTATTACTTCACAGTCACTGCTGCCTGCTGCCAAAAAAAAAGGCAAAGTGCTGTGCTTGAATTTCAGAAGTTCTATTTGAATGACTCATTGCTTTGGCAGCCACAGAGGGCCCTCAGCATCAGGCAGGACTTTCAACAGGGATCAGCCATCTAAAAGGGCTTCCTTAGACTAACAAAGAGCCACAAATAGGAGCCCAACTAATGAATGCTAATAGATTTTTCCTGTTGATGTACATTAGTCTTAATTCACTCTACCCATTTTTTATTCATACAACTCAATTATCCATATTACTGTTACCAATAGCAAGTCTCCCCTTGAATATGTGTTGATATTAAGTACCATCTCAAGTTAATTAAGCACTTTGTTACATCGACTAGATCTCTGTTTATTCTAGGCCAGAAAATGAAAGAGGGGAACCTTTAAAAAAAAAAAAAAGATTATTGCTGCCGCAAAAGCTTATGCATTTTGCATTCCAAACTGCCATCTGGGCTGTCACGGAGTCCTTGCAGGGACTCTTTCCTGGACTACAGCCTCAGGCTGACTATGAATGCCCCTTTTCTTTCTTTCTTCCTTTTTTTTTAAAATGTTTTATTTATTTATTGAGAGAGAGAGAGAGAGCACATGTGCACGGGGAAGGGCAGAGGTGGAGGGAGACTCTCCAACAGACTCCTGGCCGATATGGAGCTGGATACTGGGAGTCTGATCCCACAACCATGAGATCATGACCTGAGCCAAAACCAAGAGTCAGACGCTTAACTGACTGAGCCACCCAGGCACCCCACATGCCCATTTTCTGTTTCCTGCCCCCTCTCAGTCATTAGCAGCCTCCTCCTCAGGACAGATGTGTTGAGTGTAATAATACCATTTTAGCACAAGTACAAGAATTTGCAGACAACAAAGAAGTAAATTATGGGCACCTGACACAGTCCCAGAGTCCAGATGGGTCCAGATCAGGAAATGAAACTCCATTTGATTGAAGGTCCCTTGGACTATACTCCAAACTAGTCCTTTCCCAGACCCAGGGCATTTACTGAGCTATGCTACTGATTCCTTCTTCCTTCTCCTGACTTTTTTTTTTTTTTGTGGTGGTAAATATGGTCAGTGTTTTTATTTTTACTCTTTACTATTTTTTTTTAAATTTTTTTTAATTTTATTTTTTATAAACATATTTTTTTTGATTTTTTTTTTAATTTTATTTTTTATAAACATATATTTTTATCCCCAGGGGTACAGGTCTGTGAATCGCCAGGTTTACACACTTCACAGCACTCACCATAGCACATAGCCTCCTTCTCCTGACTTTTTAATGTTTTTAAAAATTACTGTTCACTAGTCTTTCCAGAACTCCACCTCTAGATTCCAGCATGTCTTCAATTATTGTTTTGTTTCCTGATTGCCAGTTCTCCAGGTCAGTGGCTCAACCACACATTTGTTTATATAGAAGATATCCTATCAAGGCAAAGGAATGGAAAGGAAAGGAAGGAAGAAAGGAAGGGAAGAAGAGAGGGAGGGAGGGAGGGAAGAAGATGTATGTATTCTTTTATAAAATGTTTTCTTTCCCCTTTCCACTGCCCCATGTACAAGTCTGGCTGAGGCCCAGGAAAGGTGTCAGTCAACAAACTTGTTGAGAATAACCTGCCCTGATTGATGGTATCATCATCATTTGATACTGTCCATTCAGAAAGGCTGATCAACTTCCCAGCTCTTCCTGAATCAGACTTTTAGGGCGGCTTTCTTGTTTCATTTCAAGTGTTGTGAATTCTCAGATTGTACCCAGACACACAGGAATGTCAGTATAAACACACATCCCAAAACCCAATGTAAACAATGGTTAACTTGTGTGTCATTTTATTTTATCCAAGTGATTGCTGAGCTTAGCAGTGAGTGGCCCAAGTAATTGAAAATGGATTGCATAAAGGTCATATAATCAAAAGCCACCTGGTTTCTGGAAAATTGGGAAGAGCTGATTGACCTTGGGTAAGTCCCTTTCCCCTCTTGTGGCTTCTTTCACCCTTACTGGTTAAAGGCAGGGGGTCAGACTAGATGATCTCTGAGGGCCTTAGAGCTCTGACATTCAGTGACCTGTGAACAGTTAACAAAATCATGCATTATCCTTCTGCTGACACATGTAATCCTGGCTTTTTGCCCCATTATACTTTGTCTTCACCCATTTTTCACTCCTTGAAAACTGACTAATTAACATCCATCTCTCATTTCCCTGTGGTCTTTATCCATTGTTTTGGAGTGGTCCATCAAGCCTGGAACACTTAAAAAAGCACAGTTGGGACACAGAGAGAGAGAGATTCCTGAAGCCCCATTTTGTGCTAATGAGCTAGCAATTTGGAAATTTTTGATGGATCTCCAATGAAGCATGAAGTACTCTGATAGCTGTCAACAAAGTGACAAGCTGGCCCCTTGAGAGTAAAGGCAAAGAAAAATGGACTTAACAACACTTACTGGCTTTTTAGTAGTAGCTTTTATTTAGTCCAGTATTAGCAGATACTTGCTTGGGGCTTTTGAATAAACTTGGAAGATATGAAAGAGTGAGGGAAAGAAAAGTTAAATAAGGTTTAGCCTGAAAAAAAAAAAAGGAGTCAGCAGGAGAAACAGCATCTGCAGCAATAACCAACAGGTATCGAAAGCTTATTATAATAGTGTAAGAGCTGCATTAAAAATCAATGGCATGATTGTGAATACCTCAGCTTGCTACAAGACATTTATTGGAAAAACAGGCATTGACTGAAACTTTCCTGGCCGGTTCTAAGAGCCTCTGGCCAAATTACCAGCCCAAACGCCTACCTTGACCAGCTTGTCTATAGACTAAGAAGGCAAACAACAGTGTTAATTGTTTAAATTGATTTATTTTTTTGCAAATATATAGACAAGGCCCACCTGGAATAGTAGTTGTATTGCTTAGAAAACAGAACATTCTCTGAATGTCTTCTTAACACCCTTTAAAAGATTTTCAAGTTTCAGGGCACCTGGGTGGCTCAGTGGGTTAAGCCTTGCCTTCAGCTCAGGTCATGATCCCAGGGTCCTGGGATCGAGCCCTGCACTGGGCTTTCTACTCAGCAGGAAGCCTGCTTCCCCCCTCTCTCTGCCTGCTTGCTTGTGATCTTTCACTTTCCCTCTGTCAAATAAATAAATACAATCTAAAAAAAAGATTTTCAAGTTTTTAGTAACATTCTAGAT